GAGGGGAGCAGAGTGACTGCCTCTGACTCCCAACTGCATCAGCAAGACACTGGACCCCAGGGAAGACACCCTCATGCACCTAAATGGTAGGAAACAGGAGAGTGTCTAAAAAAAAAGTACTTTTTGCATGTTTGTCTAATTGTGTGTCTGTGTATCTATCTGTGTGTGCATATATGTCTGTATCTATATCTGTGTGTCTGCATGTGTTATGTCTGCATGTGTGTGTATCTGTGTGTCTGTATGTGTATCTGTGTGTCTGTATGTGTATATGTGTGTTTCTATGTGTATCGGTGTGCCTGTGTGCATGTGTGTCTGTATGTGAATCTGTGTGTCTATATGTGTGTCTGTGTATCTTTGAATCTGCATGTCTATCTGTGTGTTTGCATGTGTATCTGTAAATGTATGTGTGTATGTATGCGTGTGCGTGTCTGTATGTCTGCCTGTGTATATGTGTCTGTATGTGTATATGTGTGTCTGTATGTGAATATGTGTGTCTGTATGTTTATCTGTATTTCAGTGTGTATCTGTGTATCAGTATGTCTGTGTATCTATTTGTGTGTCAATTTATCTGCATGTATGTCTGTATATCTGCGTGTCTTATGTGTGTCTGTGTATCTGTGTGTCTGTGTATATCTGTGTGCCTGTGTATCTGTTTGTCCGTGTTTGTGTATCTATCTGTTTGACTATTTGTGTATCTTTTTGTATGTACATCCGTATAACTATTTATTAGTTTGTCTGTATGATTATATCTGTTTGTATGTGTATGTGTATGTACATGTGAATGTGTGTCTGTGTATCTGCATGTGTGTCATTGTGTGCCCCTGTGTATCTGTGTGTGTCTTTATAAGAGTCATTCCATGTACCTGAATGTTTCTTAGTGTAATTGGAGTGATTGTATGCCAATAAGTGGATGAGGGCAGGGTCCAGGAGGCCTGTGCAAACTTTTTGCCCAGGGTCCAATCAATATTAAAGATGACCCTGGTAATAACTGATCTACAGTTATAATCTTGGAGTCTACAATAAACACCTACAACATAAAACAGCAAAGGAAAATCTATTAACTTTTCTCACTACATAAATAAATTTAAACTATTGCTTCAATGTAACCAAACAATACATTTTGGTATCTAATGTACAATTGCCCTCATAACCTCATCAGTTTACTATTCTGTATAATGACACCATGCTCTGACAATTATAACATAATATTCTTGCTTCTATGTAAAATATTCAGTCTTTCAGAAATATTGTTAGGCAAAAAGTATTGTAAATCTCTCCAATACTTTAAACTAATACATTATATAGTTTTTTGTTTCTGTTTTTGCATGAAGCCCTCATTACTCTAAGATTAAAATGGTAAAAGTAGCTGAACTCTTAAACTGCATTTTAATATAATATCTGCAGTAGTGGTTGGTCTAGATCCCCATTATAAGGCTAAGATACTAGTGGGTAATGTAAATTAATAACTACACACCAAAGTTTATCTAAGCCCCTTGGCAAACTGTATGAAAAAAATTCAGACCAAATTACACTTGTTACATAACACATCCTTTTGGTATTCCACTTTAGGAACTGACATTTTTCCATGTCATTAAACAATCTATCCATTAAATATTCTATTCCAAAATGGAATGTCCCACTCAATTAACAACTCAATACAGCTTCTCTTAACATGTACTTTTATCCTCACTCACCACCAAAAACATTAGCTGAGTACAAGGGGTTCATTTACTATATTACTAACATAGTTATTTTGTAAGTTAACTATTGTGACAAAATGCCTTTTGTCGCAGGGGTTTCATGTGACAAACTGCCCTGCCCCTCTCTTATGGAGAAGCTGGATTGCTAGCCTCTTACCCTGGGATGCTGGCCCTTTAAGTTATTGGGTCTCTTGGGACAGAGCCCTTTGTCCCTGGATTGCATCGTTTGCCTTACTTGCTTGGATTTTACAGTTGCCCTAATACATTTGTATGTTGGTTCGTGCAGTTTAACTTCCATTACAGCTGGACTAAGGCTGTTCGTATAGACGAACAAACTGCCGAATGGCCGACCACCCGGTCTGTGGCGTGTGCTGCTTATTAGCCACCCAGAAGCTGCGGTTAACCACAAAGTAATTGGGAAACAGCTTGGTGGGCCACGTTCGTCTGCCGAACACGTGGCGGTCGCTATTTTAAATTGTCGAACGCTCAGCGGTAAATGACGGTGATGCCCTGGAACTCTTTTCGGACACTTATTCTGCCGAACACCGCTGGTACCTACCAAGGTTCCCGTCCATACGGCTGGAAACCCACGAATGCCGGGAACATTTCACCATTCAGGACTTTTATGCGATGCGAAATAGACCGACCCCAGATAGCTACAGTTATGGAACTCTTTCTCGGATACAAACATGCGAACCACCGGTGAAGTCCAAACTTCATTCGACGATATTAAGAACTGTGTTCGTGGGATCTGAGTGCTATTCACCTATAATGTGCGCTCAGATCCAAGCTATCTGGGGGTATGTGGGACTTAAAGTTTATGTTCAGTAAAATATAAGTTATAGATTTTAATACTGTTTTGGGAGTATATAAAAAGACATGTTTTTCTCTACCTGGAGATAATTAATGTTTCTGTTACTAACTTAAGTTAATTATCTCCAAGATAGAGAGGAGAGATTTACCTATGCAAAGGGGAGTGCTTATGTTTGAGCCACTGCGATTGGCTACTGTAATTCTTTTGTCCCAGTCTTCCATCTGGTCCCCTAGGGGAGTGTCCACCAGGTGGGAGACCTGCATAAATACCGGGCAGGTAGCCCCCATTAAATCAGATCGTTTTACCCCTTCATGAACTCTCGACTCATGTTTGGGGGATTGGAAGCTATAATCACTCTGTTTCAGCTGGATTTCGGGAGAAGCTACAAGGATCAGCACTGCACGAATAGAAGGATCCTTTACAACTATATTGACCTAAATTTAATCATAATACAAAAGTAAGATCTCAGGGTTCTGGAAATATTCAAGATTTCATCATCTTGTGTCTTGTGTTTTTGTATGTTGTCTCCAGAAAAACCTTGATGGCACTATATTACCATTCAATTCACAATACACCATATGCATTATAAAAACTTTGGAACTCATACTAACCTTAACAGTAAAATATTAATGTAGTTTAATAGATATTTAAAAAAGGATGAGATCCATGCAGGGGAGTCCCAAATATATGAAGAGACTTATAAAAAGACCAAAGAGGAACTCTTAAAATGGACTTTTTATTTATTTTCCTTTTACACTATGCACATTTGATACATGTTTAGTTTAGGTTTGGGGTTTGGGAATCGATGGGGAATAGCAAGCAACCGCTGATACTAGCTAGTCTGACCGCCTCACTAGTTTGTAGACATATCTACAAACCAGTGAGGCGATCAGACTAGCTAGTATCAAGAGATTTTTGCATCTCCAAGTAACCAAGATGTAGTTTATAAGGGTTGTAAGATGGTGGGCGAAGGAGTCTTTGATTGAGTTTTAATAGAGGCTCTTGAGCATTTAGAAATTTGTATCCTCTATAGCATAGATAACTTCTATACTCATTAATGACTGGGGGATTCGATCTAAAATGTCTTTATAGATCATGTATCTCTTATATTATACTCATATCAATCTGTACTCTATTTCCTCCCTTTATTATAGTTGTCTTACCTGATGTTTACCTCTATCTAGTTAACATTGGGATAACTAAGGACAATATTTGAAGAGCTTCACATTTAGCTTATTGATTTCTAACATAGGGATATATTCTAATTCAACTACTCCTTTTTGTTTGAGGGACCTCATTTGCTAGCCATTTCAAGATTGTACCATCTCCAATAAAACTGAGATTCATTTGTCTCTCTCTCTCTATATATATATATATTTAATCCTATTTAATAGCTATCTTTAGCTCTTTCTTACTTCCTTGGAATATAGCCAAGCTTGTCTGCAGTACTTTATAGTATCAGCCTCCTCTATCACTTTGCATTTTAATACACTAACTTTAATTAGAAGACATAGTTTAGTAGATTCTACCCTCTTCAAATCTATATTTTACTAAATCGGACCAATTTAAAGCATCTAAATATATTATGATCATTCTATCATATGGGATTCAAATAAGAAGTATGAGCAATTCTTCTCCTTATTACTTAGAGAGGAGTGTGTTGGGAATAATACACTTTGTCTATATACAATGCTTAGTGAATATACCCCTAGACAAGAGCTATAGAACTTTGTGTAACAGGTGTTAGTATTATTTCCTGTGTGTAGAATTTGGTGTGTTCCTGCGTGTAGAATTTGGCTTTCATTTATACAACATATCAGTTTTTGAGTTGCCCCCTCCCTCCCCTCCGAGAGCCACTCTCCCCCCTTTTTTGTTTGTTTCTACCGTTGGCCTTGTTCCTGTATTTCTCTCTTTAATCATAACTTTGATCATAACTGTTTAGTAATATGTAATTTAGAACTATCTAGTTAATATCTTTTAATTCTAAGTGTGTAGTTATATTGAAACTTAGCTGTGTGCATGGCCTGACCATATAAGGTAACATGAAGATACTGTGTACACCCCATTACACCTGCAAGCTACATATAGGATAATATATGTTAAGATAACATAGATGAATGATGTTATTATTGGATAATGTTTATAAGACCACCCCCTGTTTCCTGCTGAATGTAACCTGTTACACAGCCCATTAAATGTTAGAAGTCACCTTGAACCTTGCATTGTCTTATCTCATTCACTGGAGCTCCTCAACAGCTGGTTTGGGGACGTGAGGAGAAAGAGAGTTGCAAATTGATAAGAAAGACCATGGCAAAGGGGAAATTCCTGATGGAGAAAATTCCTTAAAGGAACACTATAGTCACCTAAATTACTTTAGCTAAATAAAGCAGTTTTAGTGTATAGATCATTCCCCTGCAATTTCACTGCTCAATTCACTGTCATTTAGGAGTTAAATCACTTTGTTTATGTTTATGCAGCCCTGGCTATGATTGACAGAGCCTGCATGAAAAAAAAACTGGTTTCACTTTCTAACAGATGTAATTTACCTTAAATAATTGTATCTCAATCTCTAAATTGAACTTTAATCACATACAGGAGGCTCTTGCAGGGTCTAGCAAGCTATTAACATAGCAGGGGATAAGAAAATCTTAATTAAACAGAACCTGCAATAAAGAAAGCCTAAATAGGGCTCTCTTTACAGGAAGTGTTTATGGAAGGCTGTGCAAGTCACATGCAGGGAGGTGTGACTAGGGTTCATAAACAAAGGGATTTAACTCCTAAATGGCAGAGGATTGAGCAGTGAGGCTGCAGGGGCATGTTCTATACACCAAAACTGCTTCATTAAGCTAAAGTTGTTCAGGTGACTATAGTGTCCCTTTAATATCAGAGTGAGTGTGATATCCACAAACTGAAATACTGTAAGTGGTTAACCTAATTAACAGGCAATAGATTGTTACATTTTAAGTTTTCTCTTAGGCAACTGATAATAAAGTCTGAATGACAAACTAAGTTGAATTTAGATGATTTTAGATAACGAATTGATGTTAAATTATATTGAATTCTTCTTTGGTCTTTTCATGTCTCTCCATAGAAGTTATATTGTGCATTGCAAACAGCAGTATTTTGGGACTCCCCTCCATGGATTTCATACTTCTTTTAATATTGTTTATTGGATTCAAGCCCAGGGTAGAACTGGAACTATCCGAACTGACCAACCCATATTGGGGATTACTAACTTTTTAGGGTCTCTTTTGACTAATTATAATTTAGCATAAAAAATAAATAATATATATTTTTTTATAAGTCAATGAGTAATTGATGACCTACTCACTCCTTGCACCCTGGGAATAACAAAGCTTTCAGACACACCCAATCTGTAGCGTTAGTGACTGCCTTTCAAGTTTTTTTGTTTTTTAAACTGTTGCCCAGCAGCAGCAGAAGTGATTTAATGTGAAAAAAATAGATTTTTCAAAAGATGAAAGGGTGGAACAGGTGAGTGGGTCATCAATTGTACACTTCCTTTTTCCATTTTATTTTTATAAAATTAAAATTTTACAAATTAAACCACTCCTGCTATTGCTCCCTCTTTTTTCAAATGCTTACACTGTAGTACTTTCCTATGGGGTTTTAGTTGACGTTGTTGGATGTCCTTATGAATAGTGTGAGGACGTCCAGTGTCAGGTGATTAAAAGTCAAGTTACCACCTCTAGTGGCTGTCTGGTAGACTGCTGCTAGAGGTGGAGTTAACCCTGTAAAGAAATAATCAATAACTGCAATAATTACCATTGCAGGGCTAAGGGACTTGAGACACTGCACCCAGACCACTTCAACGAGCTGAAGTTGTCTGGGTGCCTATAATTTCCCTTTAAGTATAGCTTGGCTTGTGGTTTGTAGAAAGAAAACATCAGATGACAGGTGCACATTATATAAAAATATAAACTACATATTGTCATGCAGAGATAAAAGATGGCATGTCCTTTATATATTTTGCTATGAAAATTGGTAGTAAATATATGAAAGAAATATATAAAATGTTTGCCTACTTTTTCTGAGAGTATAAATAACTCCCAATATTCTACCAGACTACCGTACAGAATTCAGTAAATGTGAGATGTTGCAATAAGCATTATGGGAGAAAGTGGACATTCGCATGCCCTTAGTGTATTTTATTCTGAACTATCGACAAGATGTTGACAAAAAAATAATAGAATTGGAATAAAAAAAATGGGTCCAAATGTTTTCAACTCATAGCATTGAGGTGTAAGAGTGCAAATATGATCATTGTAGGGACCATGCACGAGTTGGGTATCGCAGCTAGCTCTTTATTGAAGAAATCCTATGGGTTTTTTTGTTTACGTATTAAAGTATAAGACACCAAACAATACTACGGATAAACTATACTGTTTTTAGTTTTAGGTAAATAAAATAATAGCTTGTGTATCTGGACAACAAGCAAACTCACCAACATAATATTTCTGTAACACTGGAAGACTGTAGATGCACAGGAGTGGAATATATTTTTCCTTATGTCACCTAAGCTTTGTATACTAGTGTGTGAGATTTATTTTTCAATTTTTCATCTACATATTCTCTTGATGGGAAGCTGTTATATGATTCTCCATCTGGTAACTCGAAGGACCATATGTTTAAACTGACTTCTGCAAATGTCAAACTCCATAAGAAGGAGGGCTGTTTTTATGTTCCGCATATAGATGAAGATTTTTTTTTTTTTTTACTTTAGACAATTTGGTGGATTAAATTTAAACTTAAGTATGTTACATAAAAGAAAAAAAAATTGAAGAATACTGACCTATTTAAATTTCACATTATGTGCCGAACGAGATTTGTATAAAGATTCATTCTTAATGCATCAAATTCGCAATTTTTTAACGTCACTAAACTAAAATAAATCCTATTTTAAATATTATTTGATTAAAGCAGATGTCGGCTCCTGCTTATGTAATTGATATTTGATTTATTCAAGATTTATGCATGCTGAGTCTTAGATTTATTAATGATAATCCCCTGCTCTAGTGTTTAATATAGTGGAACCAAAACATAATTTGCTGGGATCAGTCAGAAATGCATCAAAGTGATTAACTCGACATGCAAAGCATTATCCACTGACATCCCTACTGTGCATAGTGAAAAGAGAGGTAATAACCCAGTAATTGGCTTCACTTAAGGAAGTTAGGTATTTGCTGTGAATGCTGGTAAATCTGTTATTGTCACCAGTGTATCCGTCTTTATTTCTGTTCTCGTGTTTGTAGATGCTTTGCTTCTTAGTGAATATATGAATCAGAAATAAAAAATATCCCAATTATAACGTGGAAAAGTTTCGAATGCGTAGTTTTGGACATTTTATTTGTATAGGCTTTAGTTAATGCAAACTGCGTTGGATTTTTTTTTTATTATAATTTTGTTATTGCTCCTTTTCACATCACAATAAACTACATGAAACTTGCTATGTATCTAAATAAGTCCAACAATTTATCAGACATAACATACACTAAAGGCAGGTAAGACGCTCAACTGCTTGTTTAATTTTATTTGTCTTAATTTCTAGTGTGAGAATGTCTTGTATTCTGTTTTTTTTTATTGCAAAAACTATGGTCATTTACAATAAGATATAAGCTTGGTACACCTTTATAAATTATTGGAGTTTATTCACTAAACTGGAATGATTGAGAACATATAAGAGCATTGCGACTTTTGACCATGACAGCCAAATTGGACAATGTTCACAAATGGGCCTTTTTTTCTTTTTCTACCTTTGCTCTTTGTGTGTATAATTTACAATGTTCTTGTAAGTTCTTCACAATTCCCAGTAGTGAACAACCCTATCAAGGAATGCAGCAGACATTTGAGGAAGATTCAAGGGCAGCAAGATTTTCAAAAATGCTAGGTTTCTGATTGTAGAATGGGTATGCACACTCCATTACATACAAAAGCATCCTTTGTTGGCATTGGTGAAGATAGAATTCCTTTTGGTATGATGTTATCTGGTTGTTCAAAATTACTTTAAATTAAAGTAATGGGAGGAATGGTTTGTATATATTATGTGTTACATGGAATTACCCCCTCCACAATAAGAATTAAATTTTGATCCTTTCATTCTGGAAAAAAAAACATGTATCAGTTTAAATTGCGGTTTTAATAATGATATAGCATTTTCTTTTTTTGTCTTATTGTACCTATCAGCAAAGATGTTAATTATCTTTTACAGATCTTGTTTTCTGATAGCCAGATTTACTCAAATAAATATATTTAAAGGGACACTATAGTCGCCAAAACAAATTAAGCTTAATGAAGCAGTTATAGTGTATTGATCATGCACCTGCAATTTCACTGCTCAATTCTCTGCCATTTAGGAGTTAAATTTCTTTGGTTCTGTTTATACCACCCTAGCCCCTCCCCTGGCTGTGACTCACACAGTCTACATGAAAACAAAATGGTTTCACTTTCAATCAGATGTAATTTGCTTTAAAACTTTTTATCTATTGCTCTGTAAATTAAACTTTAATTACATACAACATGCTGCTGCAGGATCTAGCAAGCTATTGACAGAGCAAGAGGTAAGAAATTCTAAATTAAACAGAATTTACAATAAAGGAAGTATACACATTAGACAACTCTTTACAGGAAGTGTTTTAGGAAGGCTGTGCAAGTCACATGCATGGAGGTGTACCTAGTGATGCATAAACAAAGGGATTTAACTCCTAAATGGCAGTGAATTGATCAGTGAGGCTCCAGAGGCATGATAATACACCAAAACTGCTTCATTAAGCTAAAATTGTTTTGGTGACTACAGTGTCCCTTTAAGGTAATTAACTAGATTATATCACATATATGTGAGAGCAGGAGTTCCCAAACAAAAGGTAGATCCCCAGATGTTTTAAAACTACAGCTTCCATGATGCTTTGTCATTCTAAAGGAATTCTAAAGTCATACAAAGCATCATGCGAGTTGTAGTTCTACAACATCTGCGGCTCTACCTTTTGGGAACCCCTGTGTTAGAGAATATATCTAGTTAATAAACCCATTTTATTTTCATATTAAAAATTATGTGCCATGAAGTTATGCACATATTAAGGAATCTTCCTTATTAGTGCCTCCAACCATTTTATTTCTCGTGTCATGACACATTCTATTTAATAGATTGTTTATCTTAGTATCAGCAAAGCCTCTCAGGAGTGAGATTTGCCTAGATAAACACATTGATTGGTTGTCTTTGCAAGCAAACCAATCACATGCTACTACAGACTCAACATGCTGGCAGAGACAAAACATTGCTGCTTGAAAACCTAGCATTCCAGTCGTCAATCTGGAGTTGTTTTCTTATTTTTTTTACACTTTCTTTTCTGTTGGTGTTTGCAGACAAGTATTTTTAATATTGCTATTTTATAGTGTTAATTATAGAAAGATAATTTTTGGAAATGTTTTCACGATCAAAGATTAAAATATAGAAGAACAAAGATTCTCCAGTAAGATTTTGACAGGTGAGTATGAGCAGCTCTTTGTTTTTATTTTTTAATAGGTTATACTGCTCATCCTCCCTAATATTTATCTGAAGCAGTTCTATGTAGAGTACTTTCTTGTTGAGGCGAGTAGAGGTACATTGGTTGCTATGAACCCTAATCACCAGCAGGGGATGGGTAAATGTTTATGGACCATGTGACTGGGCATCCCTAATTCTATTAAAGGGAAGGGATAGGGGTTATTATGTAGGCCATGAAGATTGGGCACGTCGGGTCCTTAGTAGAAACCAGGAAACGTCAACTAGAAATGTTTTCTGCTTGAATACCAAGTAATGTGTGACATGTTTAATGATCTGGATCTTATACGAA